TAAAATTTATATGATTTTTGGCAGCCCTGTGTACATGAACAGTGGCATTTTAGTCATTTAGAAAGATTGATAAATGACTTTGATCTTTTACCCTCTTTATGTGGTAGCCAAAAACAGAGATAATTGAAAGAGGAGAAGAAAACAAAACAGAATTGGGAAGGGAATTGGGTATCTTCACCACCAGTTTTCTGATGGTACGCACCTAAGAATTTCTAGTACTTATCTTTGAATTTTTGATAAATAAAGTAGCTAGTTTTTTGTAAGGGATCATCCCTTTTTGCTTATAGTAAGCTCTTGTCCACGGCATATTTTGACTATTATCTTCGCTTCATTCGGTTTCTGGGAGTTTTAGCACCATATTCTAAGACATTGGGGATGTCTAGGATTCAGGGCCCTTGAAATTTTCGCGACAGGTTCAGATTTCATTTTTCTTCAAAGTGACGGTGCAATTGAAGATTAAACTTCGTGTTATGAGTTCATTAAATTCTAGCAGCACTTGCATTCTTAGTAAGATCTCTCCTATCTCTTGTTCGAGTACTATGACCAAGAAATTTGTTCTATATGTACGTCGCTATTTTTAGCTAGAGATAACTCTTGCATCCCCAATATTTAATCACTGACAATGGAAATGTTTAGTGGACTAAGGTCCGTGGTTTTACTTCCCATGCTGAGGATGTTATTATATCAATGTTAAAATAGTCTTCGACCCCTTATTTTGTGCGATTCACCGCTCCTTTTTATCAAAATCAACTTTTTAGCTTTCCAAAACGAGGATGAAATTCAAAAGTTAGTTCTCTCATCTCCAAAAGACAAAGTCAAATGGAGTAACCAACACACACTTGCCTCAAACTGGCACCTTATTTTTATTACAGCCGCCTATAGTGCGTCATGCTTTGGGGAAATCTGTTAGCCAACTACATTAATCACCCCCATGGAAACCGCCGGCCATGTCCTGGAAACAAGCTAAAACGCGTAGAAAATTCGAAAGTACAAGCAAGTTCAGATAAAAAAAATACAAGAAACTAAGGAGACACAAAGGCAAAGACATTGGCAACAGAAGATGAGGCTATGGAGAAAGGCTTCCGCAGTGTTGAAGGATCAAAATAGCATCTGGATTTCCAGTCTGTCCAGGCGGACTGCACTCCGGAATCCCGACATTGAATCGGCCGTCATTAAAGCCACCAACCACAATGAATCCTCAATCGATGTTAAGAATATCAATAGAGTTTTCAAATGGATTCGCCTCTCGACGTGCCATGTCAAGCCTCTTGTTTGGTCTATATCGAATCGAATGGAGAAAACAAGAAGTTGGGTGGTGGCTCTAAAAGGCTTGATTCTTATGCATGGCGTCATTAACTGTAATGTCCAGGCCGTCCAGAAAGTTGGAAGGTTGCCATTTGATCTGTCAGATTTCACAGATGGGCATTCGGATCCAGGGAAAACGTGGGCACACAATTTGTTTATTCACGAATACTATGCGTTTCTTGATCAGAAATCGATCATAATTTATCAGAATTTCGAGGACCGCAAAGGACAGAAAATTGTCTCGATAAGAAAAGAGCTTCAGTTGCTGCAAAAGCTGCAAGGTTTGCTTGATTTGTTGCTGCAGATTAAACCAAAGTCGAATGCAAGAAGAGTCCCTCTTGTGCAGGACGCCATGGATGGAATTATCGTTGAGATTTTTGATATTTACAACAAAATATGCAGAGGAATTGCCATCATTCTTGTCAATATTTATTCTGCTCAAAAGGCTGAGGCAACAATGGCACTCGAACTTGTGCAGAAGGCGAAAGCCCAAGGCGACCATCTTTCTTTATATATCAAATTCTGCCAACAGCTCGAGGTAGTCAATGCATTGGAATTTCCCGTGGTTGAGAAAGTCCCAGAAGAGGGAGTCGAAGAGCTTAAGCAAATAATCAATGGACTATCAGAGTCTGAGAAATCCAGTGTGAATGAATTGGGAGAGAATACAGCAATTGTTCTGATAGATTCTGAAAATGCCAATGAAGGAAAAGATTTGAAGAAAACAACTATAATCACTGATAAGTGGGAGAAATTCGAAGATCTTATGATTGGCAGCCAAGAAAATTCATTTGCCACTTCTTCGATTACACCTGTGCTTCATTCAAATATAAATAATCAAGAACAGCTCCCCGATTTGCTCAGCTTCTAGTAGTGTTTGAACTAGATTTACATTCCTTTAGAAGAGCCGTCTCAATGTCTCAGAAGTAAAAAAGAAACCAAAGAAAATGCAAATAACTGAGAAGATCATCACACGAGGAAATGCTTCAATTTTCACATGAGAAATTTTATTATTGTTTCAATTCTACCCATTGATAATTTCTGAGGAACAAGTATTATATTTTGCAAAATAAAAAAGAGACGATTTTAGAATTTACAGAATTAGATGATATCTGCATTTTACATTACTACTAAAAATCTGCATTGATTTGTATACAACTTTCCTAGTATAATGTAATGTCATCTTTCTATGTATTAGCTAAGCATAAACATATTAATTTATTTGCCACCGTATAACTAAAGATAAAATTTTCAATACACGAGACATTCATTGACAACTGAGAGGTTCTTGAAAAGTTAATTTCATATTTATGTGACAGTAGGATCACTGTCACATTATTCAATAAAGTTGAAATGCATTTTAATTCATTGAACAATGTGACAATGATCCTACTGCCACATAGACAAGAAGATGAACTCCATTCAAGATAAATAATATTATTCTTCTCGAAATGCCAATCGACCAGATGCCTAGCAGTCGAACGACTGGTCAGACATATCCTAGCAATCATGGGGAATGCAACTGACATACAAAATGGAGTCGAAGTTAAAAATTGCCAGTGAATTTTTAATTCTATGAAATCTTGTCGTAAAATCTAATTCTAATTGCCAGTGCCTTGCACTTGCATGTTATATTCGATAGGAAATTCCAACCGATAATTCTTTGCTTCGAGTCTTCACTAACATCTTATATTAAATCAATTAGTGAAAAAGTCAATGTAATTGGAAGCCAGTTGATATATTCATGAAAATTGTAAATACGATTCTCTATTGTAAAGATTGCTTCAAAAGATAAATGAAATTTTGTGTATTACTGATCAGAATATTGCGAACATAAAAGTGAAACTCTCATGGTTTATCGACGTCGTTTCCTCAAAAACTACTTGGCCATCTATGTAATTGGCGGTAGGAGATGTATGTTTTCGTGCACTGGCCTTATTCAATTGGAGTTTTGGAACCCGATAGACTTCTTGTAATCCAAGCTTTAATGGTTCACGATTAGTACAATTCAGCTCTTATCCAATTAAGAATCAGTTGGAGTTATTTATGGAACTCTAGTAATCCAAGCTTTAATGGTCCACGATTGGTCTTATTGAACTCTTCAATCCAACAAGGAGTCAGCTGGGCCATAAAAATTCTAACTTCATTTATAAGTTGTAGAAAGTTACTTGGAACTTACCCATAAAAACAAGATCAGCTCGGCCACCACATGTGGTTGATTCTTTTACAGAGTACCTTGGTTACCACAGGCAGGCAGGACCAACAAGCACAATATGAAAGAGCCTGTATGGCTTTACTTTGTTTGCAGGTTGGCCTATGTTTCAGAGCTCAACAATGGTATATTGGCATATCATTCTTAATAGAGAAAAACAAGAATGGGTAACGCGTTGGAAAATCGGCTCTGAGACAATTCTACTAGACCTTCGAACAAAATAAATTCAAATTCACATTTTCTATATGTTCCTGGAAACTGCAGCTTGTTAACTATTTCAACTAATTTAAAAGTTTAAGCTCTAGAGAACTACGTGAACTCGTTTGAATCTATCTTCAACACCCTGCTCACATACTGATTAAAACTTAACGTGCACAAATATTTAGCCTAGATCTTCTAATACTATGTTACAATTTCATCTGAAAGCTTAAACTGTCAAAAAGAGCGGCTACATGACGAAAAATAGCATTACAAGTTCTGTATTCTTGTCCAAGAAACACACTATTCCTTATTTGATTTTGGTGTGACCTCAAGAAACTTGGAGTTCATTCAAGGATTGAAAGACGTGCAAGAAATATTTAGGTAAAGATCGTGTTAAAGAGTACACAAGACTATCTATACATCATCATACTGATGAGGAAACTTTTATCATTATGAAAACATACGAGACAGAAAATGAGCACACACATATGCAAGTGTAATAATCTCTCCAAGAAATATTAAATTCGAACAGCAAACAGAATTCATAACTGCAATAACCTCGTAATAAAGCATTGATGCACATGCACTAGTGCAAACTCCAACAAGATGTAAACTAATCTGAGAGTAAAAGATAAATATTTCTAACTAATATCAACACATATATATGGGGAAAAAAATCCATAAAAATGCAAAATGGAGAAACGATAACCATCACAAATAGCCACACAAAGAACCATCATCATTAAGTGACTTCGTCACCACTACGATAAATGAAAATGGATGAAAAGAAATATCCCAAATTTCATACATTAAATCAAATGAAATAAATCATTCATAATCCAAGTCTTTAATGCAAGAAAAATTGCTAGCCTCTGAAGCAAACAGAAGGATTGAACAACGGTTCTTGAGAACCACAAAAATCTAGTTTAAAAGATGTATCACTGAATGTAGAGAGAAAACCTCTGCTGATGGCCACAGGATATATACATGAGAATCAGATCAGATGAGGTGAAAATCAAGTTAGGTACCCATGTCATAACTCTATCTTATTGTCACAAACTTGTTGGTGCCATGTTTAGCCCAATAAGTCTTCAGATCAATTGGGTTAGTGAAATTATATTCTTCTGAAGCAAGTTTCTCCAAAACCTTCTTGAAAGCACCCTGGCTCATTTTTCGTCCAGCAATTCTTGCTCCACGTCTTTTGTTGCTCATTGGCAATGGATACATAGATATAGTTGTGGTGCAACAAGCTGACTGCCAACCACCACACCCCCATCGATAACACTGTTGTGGAGTACCAGTACAAGAGCACACAGGAATTGGAATACCAGATATATCCATATCAATTCCATTTATTACAAAATCCATATTCTTCTTTATTGTTTTTGCACGGTGAACAGAGGAATTACCATTTTCTTTTGGCACAGATAGAACTTTCCTTGACTTCTTTGATTTTGAAGGCTTTAAAACTGCAGCAGCTGACCTCTTTTTGGCAGGGACACCTTCCTTTTCAATACTTGGCTCTTCAATCGTCACCTTGGTATCATCAGTTGTATCAGGTTGGTTTAAAATCTGCATGGAACTATGACTGCCAGATGGTTCTGCAAGAACAGGATTGTAAGGGTTCCCAGGAAACATATGCAAGAATTTATCTCTGTGATTTATCCAACTATCTCTGACATAGTCCATGTGCGTTACCGGTGGTTCAGTAACCCCACAATCCCGGTGACGGAAGGCCCCATTGGCAGCAACCATAACAGGATTATTGCATCCGGAGAGGAAAGATTTAGTGTCTCGCTCTGTTACAGACGACATCAACTGAAGACCAAGATGCCCTTTAAGCGGAGGTGGTTCATAATAACCCCAATTCCTCATGCTTAATGCGTCGTCGTCCATAAAAAACTATAGATCACAAAAACTACAGATCAAGCATAGAAAACAATCATTAAATCTTCAACCTAATTCCAGTTAAACATATAAGCATTTCAATCAGCATGAGTAAGCTACCAAAATGCAACAAAACAATGGAGTACGAACAATCAGCCAAAGAATAGAATTCAAGTAGATCAACGCACCAAGAAACACAAATTCTAAAAAACTGAACAAACAACCCGGGTAAAGCAACCAAGAACCACAATTTTAAGTGAATCTCCAGAACAACTCAGATAATTCACATAGCAATTCGGATAAAAATCTCAAAACTGACAACCCTGAGATTATAACCACAGATAAACATCGACAAACCGATACATTAATGAGATTTAGAACAATTAGAAAATTTACAAAAGGGTGATTTA